GGGCCGGGACACGGGGCCTGGCCGCCGGCGGCTCGGCCACCTCCAGCCTCCCCCGCCCGGAGCCCGGCTCCGGGGTGCTCAGGAGGGGGGGACGCGGAGGGCCCAGGCTTCGGGGGACCGGGGCACTTTCCCAGTGGGGCGGGGACGTGGTGGCCGCGAGAGCCGCTCCCAGGGGGAGAACTGAAGCCGACGGACGGACGGACGTAGGGAGAAGGAACAGCCGCTTCCTAAAGGGGCGATTTGGGATATGCAAGGTTCTAGGTCGCTTTCCTCCTCTGCCCGGCTGCGGGGTGCTGTCATTAATGACAGGCTGACCCCCGACAGCCGGCTCACCTCACCTGAAGCAGGGTCCTGCTCGCCCAGCACGTGGCATTTGGGTCAGACAAAGCGAGCAGATAATGGTCAGACTGCCTACCACTTCGGAAAACCTAAGTAGGAGGGGTCTCGATGTTTTGCAGAGCCTTCCAATCATGCATTAAGTCGACTTCAGCTGGACATTACCCCCATCTTACCCAGGAGGACAATCGAGAGGATAAATGTGCCGCCCACGGAGAATTGAGCATGACTTCACCCAGGCCTATTTTTATACTGCACATTGGCAGTGGTTTCCTTTCCGCTTTTGCTTCTTGACAGCTTTTCGCTTCTAGGCTAAACATTACAATTCTGTTGGGTTTCAAAGACAAGTGGCCAACTTAAAAAAAACAAAACAAAAAACCTGGATAAATGACAAATGAAAAAGTCATTCTTTGTGTGTCTAAATATTTGCCTTAAGACATAAATTATGTAAACAGCACTTTTACTTCGTTACTTAGCACTAGAAAAAGGCTTCTGGGGGAGTTTGTGGAAGAACCAAATCAGGTAGATCACATCAGGGAGGAGCAGCCCATAGCAAATACTCTTCCAACAGCATCTTTTCACTTCTCAGTGCTTCCTAAGGCTGCCACTGAACAAAGCATAGGCTTTGAAGCCATACATTAAGGACACCTGAAAACCATACACCACCTTGATGAACTGCCTTCAGATCCCTGCTCCCGCTAAGGATCTTGGGCAACTTGTCAACCTAACAAGCCTGCTTTCTTACAGGTACTATGCAGATTGTCTTAATTTCCCACGAAAGGCTGTGAGGATTGAGATACCCTCATGTTAAGTGTCTGGCCCACCAAAGTTACTCAAAAAACACCAGTTCCTTTCTTTTCCTTTACTCCTCAGAACCAAAGATTACCAGTGCTTCGGAGAGGTCCCTCAGCTGAAGAGATCACAGAGTTCAGTGAAAACAGATGAGGGAAAAACCCACTGCGTTGTCCATACATCAAGGACACCTGAAAACTCTATACACCACCTTGATGAACACGGCATGCATGCACTTAAAAAACATCAACACCAGCAGAATAAAAACTTAAGAGTGTCCTCATAAGTAGATATAAACCAATTTAAGCAGCAGGAGACATAACTGCCTGAAATGCCAACTGTGGTTTTTCTCCTTCCCCAAAACTAGTTGTATTTCAGTATGGATGGGATTTTCTCCAGATACCATGACTTTTTCTAAAATATTAGTGACAGAGGACATAGACGGGGGGATTAAATACATTAAAAACAAGTTCCAAGTAGCTTAGGATTCACATGTGCTATTCACTTTATCATGAAACATCAGTAAAGGACAAATCAGACTTTGTTTATTAAAAAAATACTTTACAGGAAAAAAAAAACCTCTATGCATTCCATTGTCCTATTTTACAAAGAAATAGCTTAACAATTTAACACACTTAGACAGCTACAAAAAAGCACTGTGCTAAAAGATTATTCACACAAATTTAGATTTAAGACTATTCATTTAAAAACTTTTTAAAACACTTGTTAATGTCAATAAACAAACTAAGGCCACACAACGCAAATAGTCCGCCAGGCAAATTATACATTTCATCTATATGCAAAGACCTCTTAGATAAATTAAAGCCACAGGAAAAAAAAAGTCTTAGCTGCCAATCAAAATGGAGTTTAGTCACAAAAAAACACTATTACATGAAAATTTACAACATGTGATAGAAGTAGTACATAAGTATTTCTTTAGAGAGAATTGAAAAGTGCTATCTTAAGAGACAGTGGTCTCAACTACATGCACAAGTGGATCCTAAAAAATTTATGAAGAAAATGGAAGGCCATAATATTTATGGAGAGATACTTGCTTTTAAAGCAACAAACTTTCAGCATGAGGATAGGTCCCTTATATGCTAAAGCAAAACAACTCTTGTACATTTCCTCTAACTTACTGCATGACCAATAAATACAGCTACCACCTGTTTTTTTAAAAAATAAAAATAAAACTTAGCAGAAATATGAACCTCTGGCATGTACTAGTGGAAAGGTTCTTTTTTAAACACCTGCAGCAATGACAAAACAGATTTCTTAGAAAGACACAAACTCAATTATCCTGAAGGTATAAACACAAATTTTTCCTGGCAAATACAGATGAAAATATTATGGGCTAACATTAATGATCCAGAATATATTCACTAAGGGCTTTCTTGAATTTTGGAGTTGTTCCTAAATTTCATTCTAGACAATATTTATAAAGGGAAAGGCAAGAAGCAAAAGTTTCTCCAGTCATTACGTGTGAACTTTATGCCTCTTAAGACCGATTCGAGATGATGCAAGACACCTTTCCTAAGGTTTATTAAAGAATTTTATTTAATAAGCTCCTTTTTCTACTACAGGAGCTTGTAATATCAGTCATCTGATAGTCCAACTGTCTCTAAGGGGAAAGGGCACCTTTCAAAAGTCTTTAAAAATAATGAAGTGCCAGTGAAACAAATTGTTAAGTGCTGACTAAGCAAATTAATAAACATACAATTAAGCCTAGGAATTCCTTCTTAAAGAGTTAAAACTTTGAAGGGGAAAACTCATATGTAGGTTATTATTATTGCTTTATGAATTTGGGATACCTCTTTGAATCCTAGCATATCTTGGTATAATTATAGAATGACTTCTGGGGCAGGGGGAAGACTTTTGTCCTTATTAGTGAATACCATAAAATCATTCTAGTTACTAAGTTAGAAATATTCACATATTGGGTCCTTTCCATAAGCACATTTAAAAATATGTGCTCCACAAAATACTAAAACTTATAACCACATTCTGCAAGTAATCTCAAAGAGTTGGCACAACGGGTAAGTTACCAAAAAGGAAGATCAGCTTAAATTTCAGTTACAACTTCACTGCCATCAATACTTCACAAATCAGAAGACGCCAGTTTGCTCCATGCCTCACTCCACCAAACCAAATAATGATTTCAGAAAGTTGCAATCATTTGTATCACTAAACTAGGATACAGCTTTGAAAGCAGTAAGAAACTCAAAACGTGGGCTTTTATATTCCTCAGTCTTTAAAGCATGCTATTAAAATCTAATACTCACTCACATAGGACATTCAGGTTCCAGATACATTACTAGCTAAATGTTTCTCTCTCCATCCTATTGCAATTCTAACATACAATGAATTTATTATTAGTACATGATTTTAAACATTTTTATACTCTTTTAATGTGTTTATATGGGAGGTGAGGGTTTATTCGAGGAAAACGGGGATTTGCTTTTGATTGTAGGTCTTTGCAGATCCGCTGGTTCCTGAGTGATTAAACACAGTGCTGGCTGTCAGGAGACAGTCTCATTGTTTATTAGCAATGACCAGCTTAGATGACAGATGGCATCTGCTGGATGGCAAGTGGGAGATGGGGAAATCGGATCTTGGAAGACAAGAAAAATCAAAATAAAAAAGTTTTTGCTTTAGCAACCTTGTTCATGATTATTTTAAAAAACAAATGTTGCCTGAGAAGAATTTTACTTTGCACAGCCTAGTAAAGCTCTATGAAATTCTTCTGGACAGAAAAACAAAAACAAGAAAGAACCCAAACCCACATACTTTGTGATTAACCCCTCCCTCATAACAAAAACACCCTTAAAGGCAGGTCCCTTAAAAACTAGTCTTGATAAACTAGAATTTACCCTAGAATTTATACCCAAGATTTAAAAACACCCCTGCAATAATCACATGACTTTTCATACCATTCTAATTACCTTATTTACAGAGATAACTAAAACCAACATCACTTCCAATTCATAAATGG